AAAGAAAACTATCTACACTGATTTGTTAAAAAGTGGGAAGTTCGGTGCAGTACCGAGTACCGACCATTCAAAAATGTGGGTCCGTCTTAAAATTTCAAATCTTTGTAGGCGGAGTACTTTTGAAATCCAGACAATCTGATCCCTCAGATTTAAATTCTTTTGATATGGCCCATGCTTTACTTATGGCATTGCCAGGTGAGCGTGTCATGTATGATGGCACACAATTCAGAAGTCACAGAAAAAGTACACAAAGATAGACTTATAAATTTTTGGATTAACCTCAACATCTTCCCAAAGTGTTCATCTATATCTCGATCATCTTATAGTAATTGTTTACCAAAAAAAAAGAAAAAATTGATTGCAATTATGGCATATGATAACCCAGGTTCTATTTTTCTTTAATCAAGTTGCTCATCAATTATTTTATAAGAGGGCTCTCCATATCATGAATATAAGCTAGCATTAGATATCTAATGAATTAATGACAATTTCAAGTTTCATTAGAAGTTAAGGTATTTTTTTATATATAATTTTTACATATTTATCATATCATCATTTATATAAAATTTTGATTCATTTTTTGAAAAAAAAAAAGAGTTTTTAATTAAATTGATAAGATCTAATTCACCCTCCTTTTTGGGTAGCAAACTGGATTTACAAAATTAATATCCTCACTTATTTACTCTTCCCTTTTTCTCACCAAGGAAGCTCATGTCCATGTGGTTCTACAGTGTGCCTCAGGCACGTGATTCTCCGGCACCTTCCTCAACAATATCACGTGGACATTTCATTTTTTTTTCCCCATTTTTGGGGTGCTATGACATGGGCCATCGGTTCCCTAAATTATTGTCTTGTTCAATATATTTCATAAAATTTTTATTTATAAGGCTGAGAAATTGAGTTGAGTATCTAGCTAATGACTATGATAAGTTAAATACATTATTAGAAATGTAGAGAAATATGTACCCCCAAAAAAAAAAAATGTAGAGAAATTAGCTAAGCACGTTATATATGGAGTTAAAATTTTTTAGCTTTAAAAGTGCTTTATATTTATGTGGAAAATGAATATATGAGATTTAATACAAAAATTACATTTAATATAAAATTAATTAACAATAAATGAAGGAGTTCTTTTTATGTTTAACTACATAGTTTTTTATTATATTTTGTTATGAAATTTTCTCATACAACAATTTATAACAAAATTTTAAAGTTTTGCAAGAATAATGATTTCGTAAAACAGTAAATTACGCATGATGCTTTCTAAAAAAATGTTGTGTAATTTGGCTTGTATCTAAACTCTACAAAATTAAGAGCATGTTTGTGAAACTTATAAAAGTTTTTTTTTTTCCTGTTTATGAGTAATAAATTTAAATTTGTATTGGAAAGAAAATTTAAAAATTACTTTTAGAAATAAAAAAAAAAAGTGAGTAAAAAAAATTTATAAAAAATACAAATTTAAAACTTTTAAAAATTTTTTTAAAATTAAAAATTTTAAAAAATATAAATTTTTAAGAAAAAA